AACTTCCTCAAGACCCAGCTATACCACTCTTGAGCATATACTCAAGGAATGCTCAATCATACCACAGGGACACATGCTCAACTATGTTCATAGCAGCATTATTTGTAATAGCCAGAGCCTGGAAACAACCTAGATGCTCCTCAACTAAAGAATGGATTAAGAAAATGTGTTACATAAACACAATGGAGTACTCAGTAGAAAAAAAAAAAAAAAAAACAATGACATCATGAAATTTGCAGGCAAATGGATGGAACTGGAAAATATCATTTTGAGTGAAGTAACCCAGACTCAGAAGGACAAACATGCTATGTACCCACTCATAAGTGGATACTAGATGTGAAGGAAAGGATAACCAGACAACAACCCACAACTCCAGAGAAGCTTGCTAATGGGGACAACCCAAAGAGGGATGCATGGACTGCCCTGGGAATGGGAAATAGATGAGCTCTGCATGAGCAAACTAGGGATGAGGGGTGGGCAGTGGATGATAGGGGATAGGAGATGAGATGGTCAAGCTGGAACAGGGGTGGAGTGGGAAAGCAGTGAAAGAAATACCATGACAAAGGGAAATATAGGGATAGAGAGAAACCTGGTGCTAGGAAAGTTGCCAGGAATCCCCAAGGATGACCTTAACTTGGACAGCTAGAAATAGTGGAAAGGGTGCCTGAACTGAACTGGCTTACCCCACTGACCAGATCAGTGAATACCCTAACTGTCATCACAGAACTTTTCTCCAATGACTGATGGAAGCAGATGCAGAGATCCACAGCCAAACACCAGGCAGAGCTCCAGGAGTCCAATCAAAGAGAGAAAAGAGGGGTTCTATGAGGAAGTGCACCAAGATCATGATGGGGAAACCTGCAGAGATGACCAAGCCAAACTAGTGTAAACTCATGAAAGTTGGCTCAATGGCTGTGGAGCCTGCATGGGGCTGGACTAGGCCCTCTGCATGGGGAGACAATAGTGTAGCTTGATTTGCTTGGGGGGCCCCCTGGCGGTAGGATCAGAATCCATCCTTGGTGCATGAGTAGGCCTTTTGGAGCCCACTACCTATGACCAGACACCTTATGCCGCCTTGAGGCAGGGGGAAGGCCTCCACGGAATGTGCCTCTCCATGGGAAGCCTTGCCTTCTTGTGGGGAGGGGGGAGTGAGGGGTGGGTTGCGGGGGAGGTTGGGGGCAGGAGGAGAAAGAGTGGGATCCTTGGTGTGTAAAATGAATGAAAAAAATTCTTAATTAAAAAAAAAAAAACAAGGGTTTAGGGAACCAAATTACAGATGTTTTCTGATGGCACATCCCACAGGCTACCCCTGGCTAGGAAAACTACTGTCAGGTACGTTATACCCAAGCAGAATCACTTTTCAAGCCTGACTTGTGAAGCACTTTCAGTGTCTGAGGAAAGACTACACACAGAAAATAATTAGTTGTCACATTTTTTAAAAAATGCTTGCATATAAGGCTCACATGTATAGGATTCCATTTACTATTAAGAGAAAGTGGAACTGAGCAGTGATACATATATTATGAATAATAAAAGGCATTAAGAATTATAGGACTAAGCAAATGAGTCTTGACAAAGGTAAGGGTCACTGTTTTAAATCCACGTCACATATCTATTTAAATTCTCAACACTGGCAAGCTAAAGAATTATAATAATCTCATATAGTTCTCATATAGTTCATCACAATAGTCTACTGATACTGAAAATTGAAAAAATGAACTCAGTGCTGACTGAGCAATAACTACCTATCAGGTCTATTTTCCCTCTCTTGAGGCTCAATAGAGTTAACATTACACTGACTTCAGACCCATTACAAGGTGAAATGGAGGGTTTTAAGTTAAATGTATAGAGCTGCAAACACACATGGAGGATTGACAAAGCATTGCAAGGCAAAAATACCTACCGGTAAAAGTACAATAAACTGAGGAACAGACCTAGCCCTATCCCTTCATAACCAGAGAAATACATACATTTGCATCCTGTACTATCCAGAAGCCCTCAGCTCTCTAGAATTGTTACAGAAGTCCTTGTAAAGGAGTGCAAGAACACACAACCATTCAAGAACTACCTTGCACAGGCAGAGCCCTGTAGCAGCCGCAGGATACACACTGCCTCACCAGCAGATGTAAATCATATCTCCTCACATGTTTCTGAGTAGATGTTTCTTTCTTGTCACATAAATGAGCAAAACACCCTAGTGTACCTTCTTAAGTGCTTTCATAAAAGCTTTTTTATGAACCAGTTGCCTCAAGGTGGAAAGCTGTGGATTTTTGAAGATCTAAAACCGAGGTAGATGCCGCTATTTCGGTTACTCAGTGGTGCTGGTATTTTGAGCAAATAACTGGATAACACTTATTTTCTGTGGAAAGAAATCTGAAGATTTTTGCAGTGACATTCCCAGCATCAGCAGTGGCTTCAACGACGATTACATAAAATGTTAAGATACCACCAGGAAGCCCCGTTTCACACTTCCAAAAACTGTTAGTGGATGTGTGGGTGTGTGGGTGTGGAAAATAGTCTGTATATTGTCACAGAGTTTGTAATAGATTGTTAAAAAGAAGCAGGTCCCGGACATCATGTTGTAGGCAGGAGACAACCTAGTGATTTCATGAAAAATGAACACTCTTGAGGGAGGCTTCTTTGCGCCTCTATTTTAAGAAAAAGAATTCTATTATGAACTTATGCAGCATAAAATAAAAATTATTGTGAGTGGCAAATGATTTTGTATCAAATCCTGTCTTCCTGAGCCTAGGAAGTAGGGACATTAGAGGACCATATCTGGCTCGGCTGACATCAACATGTGCATTATACTGCTGTGGTTCTGCAGAAAACCATACTAGGAAAAAAGCAGAGTGGCCTAACAGGTTCTAGAAGTGAAATGCAGTATTTTAAATTTCCTGTGCCCACCATTTTTCATATTTTAAATCATATTTTCCTAAGCTGTAGAAATAGGTAAATAGCTTTATGTTATTTATTAGTGTTGAAAAAAGACACATTGTCCATAAAATGTTTCTTTAACAGGTTTCCATTGTATTTTACCAAGATCGAATCTGGAGAGCATGCCCATATGTACTTACTGGATGCTGGCTTTCAGTTTAAACTAATTATCTGAATTCTGTCACAAATTAATAAAGCCCTACTTTGGATAATTACCTTTTTTAAGAATGTTACTTTATAAATAGAGCCTCACATAGAAAACCAAAACCATGAAGATAAATTCTCTGGAAGGGTCAAGATGAGTCTTAAGCTGGAGAACTACCTTCTGACCCAAAGCAACCCCTCTGGAACTTGTTCCTCAACCCAACAACCTTCAAGAACAGGATGCCATGTTAGATGAAAGTTCAGCTTTAGACCTGTTTGATATCTATTAGTGTGACTTTAAAAACTAAATGGTAGGATTGATATTCTCCTTCTCCATGTTTCTTTCATAAATGCCCATAATATTGAACAAGCTGTTTGACATTTCATCAAAGAATTGAGAACTTAGAACAATTTAGCATCCACAAAACTGAAGGGGGAAAAAAGCAAACAAACAAACAAACAAAAAAACCCCAATAAAATTTGAAGATAAAAGTCAAGCTCTTCCCTGAAGCTATGAAACAGTAGGAAGAACTGAAGTACAGTCTTGGGTATTTGTTGGAGGATGATTGGGGCACACGTTCATAAAGAATGACTATAAGCAAAGAGAATAGAACTGTAAGATAATACATTTGATAACATTATGCAAGATCAACAAAATGGATCTAAAATTAAATGTGAGAGTTAAAACATTGACTGTTCCAGAAGAAAAGTTATCAGAATATGTCAAAAAGTAGAGTCATTAAAAAATTCTGGGAGAAGCTGGCACTGGCAAAACGTGCCTCTGTCTGTGCTCATCACTGGAGGGAGTGAGGCAAGAAGATCACCATGAGTATGAAAATGCCTTCTCTGCATAATATGAAGGTGTTGTAAAAAAAATAGAGAAGACAAAAATACGGTTTTATATATAATACAAATAATTTTCAATCAGACTGGAAGAAGACAGGGGAAGATAAACTGCAGTCAGGATGTAAAATAAATATTTTTTTTTTAAAAAGCAAACAAAAAACGCAATGCTTTTAGATTGAAATTCGGAACATATATCATTGAATTAAATTATATTTAATTTAAGATAAAGTTACAGTAAAAGTGCTTTTTGAAACAATTTTGGCTGAATGTTTCAAAGAGAAAAATAAAAGTAGCTGTGCAAATACTACTGTACTCTACTTAGAAACTGACCTTACCCACACACAGAGAGATTAACAAATATAGCATTCTATGCATGCATTAGTTACTTTTCTGTTACTGTAACAAAACACTGGTGCTACTTATAAAAGAAGCCTGTGATTTCAGAGAGTTAGAGTTATTGATTACAGCAGCAGGAAGAGCTCTGGGCTCATATCTTGATCTAGAAGAGAGAGGGTGCAAGAGGCACAATGGGAATGGTGTCTGTCTTTTGAAACCTCAAAGCTAGCCACTAGTGACACACCTCCTCCAGCAATGCCATACCTCCCAGTCCTTCCTAAAGAGTTCTACTGAGGACCAAGTATTCAAATATATGAGCCCATGGGGATCATTCTTATTCAAGTCACCACAGTGTATACATATATTCCCACCATCTTTTTGTTTGGACTAAAGTAGAAATGATAAAATGCCAGTAGTAAAGTGTATACCCAATGTCAAGTTACTACTTTCTAAGAACACCAACTTTCAAAAGAAGGGGCAAGGGCTCCTTGGAGATACAGTTGATAGCTGAGCCCAAGCCGGGTTCATATAAAAGATAAGATGAGGGCTGGAGAGATGGCTCAGAGGTTAAGAGCACTGATTGCTCTTCCAGAGGTAATTCCCAGCAACCACATGGTGGCTCACAACCATCTGTAACGAGATCTGGTGCCCTCTTCTGGCCTGCAGGCACACATGCTGTATACATAATAAATAAATAAATCTTTAAAAAAAAAAAAAGAAAGAAAGAAAGCTCATACCTTTCTCAGTGACTCGGCCCTTCTCTGTGGAGAGGTACTGGGTTTAATGCTTTAAAAAAAAAAAAAAAAAAAAGATAAGATGAGCCTGAAACAATCTATGGTCTCAGAAATTTAATATCTGTCAACAACAGAAAACACGTGTTGGGAATGGAAACATGTCAAAATTAAACAGGGGAAAATCAGTATTAGCTCTGTCAAGTTAAAAATGAGTCTAATAATGATGTTATTGGTTTTACTACATATAAACTAATTATTCAACATTAATTTCAATAAATAACTAAGCAAACCAATGCATGGGTAAGAACAGTGGCCTTACAGAAAAACCTACATATAAAAAATGTGAAAGGAGTATAGAAAGTAGTCAAGTGTCCTTAGACTAAGACAGTACACCAGTAAACTTGAAATTTAGTTGATGAATTTTAGGTAAAACAGAATACTTGTAGTTTTTCCATGTAACTTCCCATATTTATTAAGTGCCAACCTAAGGAGCAGACTTATTAGAGGAAGACTATGAGACATCAATTTATTCAAGGGACAAAGGTGAATATCTTCAGTAGAAATTCATGCTGCTCTTTATACTTTAGTATGAAATAGAAAACTTTATGTATTCTCCCACAGATCACATTAACTGTTAAAAGAGAAAATATCAAATAACCAAAACAGCAGGACATTCAACCAGTCTTGAGTAGCAATCTGCATCTTCCAATTTATAGAAACCAAGATTGAAAATGTATTGCTGCTTAGGGTATCAGAAAAGTGGAGGGTAATATGAGGCCTTGAGCCGAAGTCCTGAACGTTATAATGAAGATATTCTTGAGAAACTGACTGCTGAAATCTAAATAATGTGCATGCTTTAGTTTGGAACAGTGTACCAAAATTAATTTTGTAATATTAATTAATATTCCATGACTAAATAAAATGCTATAATGAAGGAAGATTGAATGAAAATATACAGGAATTGTCTGTACTGTCTTTGCAGTTTGGAAAAATCTGAATTTATCACAAATTAAAATAGAAAAATTAATTTAAAGCATGAGTCACTGTATAACTTTAGAAATGAGATTAGATCATAGGAGTATATGGACTTTAAAATAGTCAATATATAAACATAGAAAAAGATTTTGGCATGAAACAAATTTTACGGTTAATTTTTTAATTTTATAAATTGAATGTAATGTAGAATATGAAATGTATATTATAGATTGATATCCTGCTATTTACCAATAGTCCCACTTATTCATCAATTATCATATTTTTGTAAAAAGAATACTTTTATGAAGGTATACATAGATATAGAGTAAATTGTATGAAATTAGCCGGGCGGTGGTGGCGCACGCTTTTAATCCCAGCACTCGGGAGGCAGAGCCAGGCGGATCTCTGTGAGTTCGAGGCCAGCCTGGGCTACCAAGTGAGTTCCAGGAAAAGGTGCAAAGCTACACAGAGAAACCCTGTCTCGGAAAAAAAAAAAAAATTGTATGAAATTTAACCTGTCTCATTTGGTAATTTTTATTCATTTGTACACCCAAGCAAAATCATAAAAGTAAAGACATATGTTATCCCATGTATTACTCATTCATGTCTCTTGATAGTGTCACACTCCAAACCCTACTATTCCTAACGTTCTGCCAACCACTGTTCACCTATCTATCAGTATCCTATAGTTCGCATTCTCTACAATTTTGTTCAAAGGGAATTTTCCGTTATATTTTCCTTTCTTTCCTCAAAGTAATTGTCTTTTATATGTATTTAAATGGCAAAAAAAAAAAAAGCTTTCCCTGTCTACCTCTGAGTAGAGTTCCCTATCTACTTTAGAGGAGGGCACATTTCCTGTCTATCCTAGAGTAGAGCACATTTACTGTCTACCCTAGAGTTGGGCATATTTCCTATCTACCCTACAGCAGGGCAATTACCACTCACTTGGACTGGGCACTCTACTGAGCTATCTGATGTTGTCTCTTTTACTTGAAAGAGTTTATTTCAACATTTCTTGTGATACAAATCTTCAAGCAAAGCAATATTTTAGCTCTTATGTGACTGAAAATTCTCTACATTAGTTAAGCTTTTCATGGATACTTTCATTGAGTATAGCATTACTGGTTGTCGATTTCCCTTTATTTTCAATTGTTTTATAAGCATATTTCTATTCTTCTTCACATGTACTACTAACCTTTATCTTCCTTGTCTGTGGTTATCTCTCTTCAATTACTTTCTTTCTGATATAATCTTCATAACATTTTAAAAGAAATCTGGGTATGTTGTGCCTCAGTGTAGTATTCTTCATATTTTCTGGTGTTTAAATTCATTGAGCAAATTTTTTGCATTTGGAAAAAAATCAGTCAATATTTCTCTAACTTTTTTTTTATCCCCTTCTTTCTCATCATGGATAATTACAATAACAGTACAATACATGGACTTCTTCTTTTTGTATATGTTTCATTTTTCTTAATATCATTTGCTATATGTATAATTTCATGAACTTATTTTTTTAATTGTAAAATAATGGCCTATGGGTCAGGCTTCTTACTATCTAGCTCTTTTTTATTTAATATTTTTATTTTATAATTAACTTAATTTCACATATCAGCCACGGATTCCCCTGTCCTCCCTCCTCCCACCCCCCAGCCTTCCCCCACAACCCACCCACCATTCCCACCTCCTCCAAGGCAAGGTCTCCCCTGGGGAGTCAGCCCAGCCTGGTATTATAATGTTTGATTTGACACTAATCCGAGATACAGGTTTTTATTTCACCATTTTTTCTTCTATATCATCTTTACATTTACATAGATTTTATTTTGCAATTATTAATAAAATTCATACAATTTCAATGATCTTTAAATTTCTTATCTATTAATTTTAAGACCTATGTCAGCTTCATGTTGGTTTCAGTAGACCTTCTTAATTCTATTGCCATCAGTCATATTTCCAGCTCTTTTGCATGTCTGGAACTCTTTCTTTGGACTTCAGACTGTCTGAATTTTGCCTTCTTGGGTATTGGTTATGATTCTTAACAACTCTGAGTTTCATTCAGGTGTATGTTTGAGAATTAATTAAGATTAGTTGCAAGTGGCTTGCTTTTCTGAGGTTTTACATTTCTGACATGAGAAGTTTAGTCTATGAAAACAAGTTCTTAATAATGTAGAAAAATGTATACCACATTATCTATATGATGGTCATGAATTATAAGGAGCACATACTATTCCTGATCCTATGTGAGACTCTGATATCGGTACCTTGCACCTTCCGAGAATATTCTTCTCTTGTCTATGTTAGTTTCCTTACCTGGCATGTTCTGTTTATTGCTTTATTAGACCAAAGGAAAATTCTGTATTAACTTTTCCATGGATTATTCCTCTATTGACATGATATTCACTTTTCTACAATAGCACTGGTCTCTCTAACTTCCAGCCACTTGACATATGACAGCCAACATATATGCTTAATCGTCCCTTCCCTATAACACCCTGAAATCTCTCTCCAGGTAATAAATACAGGCAACCATCAGCTAAGATGGCACATAGAATGATGTACAGCATCGTCTCTGCTCATATTTCCTGTGTTATATGTAGACTCAGGGTTTATTTATATAGTAATAGGTTCCAAGTCCTTTAATATCACTGCTGCTGTCTCCTCATCCTAAACTTCCTGCCTAGAATGTTCAAATCCTCTCATCTTTAACTGAGTGGATCGGACATCATGATATTTTAGCTCACAGTATCTTAATTCAAATATATTCCTTCATGGCCTGATTTCACTGTAGCCTTCTTTCATTTAATTTACAAGACCTTATAACTATGGATAAAGATGTGAAGGTGATATTAGTAACAGAGAGGACTTTGTTTCACTACTGCATCCATAAACCTTAATACAAATTAGGTGCTAAGTACATGTCATCAAATTATATTCTGTTCCCTTTACAGGTATTTGTACTATGTTTCTAATTGTTAAATATTTTATTTCAGACATTATTAGTGGGCAAATAAAATTATCATGTTTGTTGTAATTCAAGAGGCCTATGAAATAACATGATTATCTTTTTTAATTAAAAGGCAATGGTGTGTGTATTTAATTATTTTGGTTAATCAAAAAAAAATTCTTAGTAATGTGGATGTGTTCATCAGTTCAGTGCTTCTACTGTTTCAAACTTCATTATGTTATGAAGTCACTGACTTCTAAATGTAGTTGGAGTGATTATTTTATTTATCTATAATTGCTTTATACTGTAATTATATGTTCTCCATCGATGATCAAGAGTGTTACATGGGAATTTATATTCAAACAAATATATTTTGGTACAATATCTCATTATCACCACCATCATAAATGGGCTTTATAGCTACTAAAGCTACTCATTATTTGGTAATTGATATATCACAAGCACTCTTCTAAGCACTTTTACATATTGTCTCATTTTGTCTACTTTTTGAACTACAAACAGATGTATTAGACTTTATTTCTTCCTTTTATTAATAAGTGAGCAGATGCTAAAGGAAAAGTTTAGGATAAACTGAGGTCTAAACATGTTCCACAGGATAATTAGGTTTAACTTCCAACAGGAGCAATGCCACAAGGACTTCTGTCCTCTTCACTGAATGAGTGTCTGTACTACTCCAAAGTCTGACAGAAGCAGGACTCCGGAGACTTTAAGTTATGCCATACAGTAAACTAGTTTTAAAGCAATCATCTATGTTTTTATTGTCCTTGACAGTTTTCAACATGTGTTAACAATATTCCCACTTCATAAGAGCATCAATATTATGCAGTTAGGACAATACACACCCAGCAGCCGATAAGGACTGGCCACAAATCACCACTTCTTTTCTCACTAGGAGACTGATGCCTCTTCCACTATCTCCCTGCTTCTTTAGAAAACAAGTGTATTTCAACCTTTTGACAGGGGTGTGTACTTTCATCTTCCAGAACTCTTCAAACTCACTATCTTCATGGAATGATTTCTTTCTCATTTCAGGTAAGGCATTGTTCATATAACTTCCCTAATGAAGACAACACCAGTTTCCAAACCCTCTCCTTTTTTTTTCCCTGAGTCATCTT